TCTGCCCTGGCACCACTTGCTCGTACGTGCCTCCCGGATCTTCGTCCGCCACTCCATCCGTGACTTCTTCGGCAACTCCATCGGAGACTTCTTCAGCAACTGCCGCAGTTTCAACTGTCGTCGCTCCAACATCTGCGGTCGCGTCCGCAACGGCTGCACCCCAGCCTTCACCGCCGACACCCTGCACTTGTACTCTTGAGTCCTACATCATTGTCGCTGCCACATCCGTTGCCCTGACCTTGGTGGTTGTAATTGTTACTCTTTGCGCTCTCCGCGCCTTCGTGCTCAAGCGATCCCGTCAAGACGGCTCTCAGTACATGCCGCTGCAAAGTTAACTGCACTGATGGGGCAAGTCGGTTTGAGTTCACGCATCTTCAACCCATTTCGTTTTCTTGCGTTTCTTGCTGCTTTTGGATTTTGTCATGTCGCTATTGCCTCCCTCATACCCGAGTGTTACACTCTGATATACAGTACAGTACTGCATTTTTGTGATTGAGTTGTTCATGATTCATCTGCAATTTGAGAACTCGCGGCCTTTCGCTTTTGTTCTGCATTCTCTTCATTTCTTCTCTTGTTATTTTCGGTTAGTCGTCTGTTTCCAGTCTTCCTTTTCCATGTCCGAGCAGTTCAAGGTTTGGAATGAATGATTGTTTGATGATTCGCAATCACGAATCTTTTGGTTGTGTTTGTCTGTGAAACAACAGCGAAAAAACAAATCTCCGTTTTCGGATCTGAAAATTGGGGAAACGTTTTGGATCTGGCAACGGGAAAAAAAAACCGCCGCGCCTGTTGTGTTTTCGCATTTCGCTGCCATTGTTTGCTTTGACAAAATGGAAGTTTTGCATCAGAAATGAAAGCAGAGTTCGACTCGATCGACGGGTTCAAAAGGGACGACGAAGACATAGAGACAAAAGGGAAAGGGAAAGGGAGAGAAGCGCAACGTCGGTGCTGGTGGGTGGGCAAACTACTCATCCACTCATCCACTCCCCATGCTCCACCCTTGCTCCTTGTTCGCTCGCACGATTTTTGCAAGGCTTGCTGACCTTGTGTGCATGGCGTTGATTTCTGCGCGCTTTTGGTGGCGTTGCGGCTGACCGTGTGCGCGACTGCTGTTCTTTGCTCTTTGTTGCAGTGCTTTGCCGACGAGAGCGTGTTCGCATTGCACGAGCTGCTGCTCGAGCCGCAGGAGACCATCCCGCTGCACTTCCGCCAAGATGCAGGCTTCCGTCTGCCGGCAGACCGATGCGGATGCCAGGGCTACGAAGTCCTGCTCAAGGTGCGCATCTGTCTGTGTCGGTCGCAAATCTCGCGTGTGTTGTTGCCATTCACACACTCGATCGTCACGATTCACTCATTGAACATATAAACAGGACGGCGGTATTGTCGGCGTCAAGCTTGCATTCAGCGCAAAGGAGCCGCTGGACAATGTGTGGTTTATCCCGCGGACTGCCACCAGTAAAACACACCTCGCCAAGGTACTTTTCTGAAATGAAAACGGGTGCACTGCACTTGCACTCCAATGCTCAAATGACTTGCTTTCGACGAATAGGGTGACATGGACATGCACGCCATACACCTGGGAAACTTCAAACCAAGCGAAAGCAACAATGGATCATTCGAAACCATGTTCAAGTGGAAGTTCCCAATCGTCGCCGATCGCAGCCTGTATGAAACCAAGACGCCCGGACAAGCAAGTCGCCCGTCGCAGCCGCACGCTTCACTGACGTCGCAGGGGCTTGACAAGCTGGGAAGCACCTCGTTAATGTTAACGCCGATGTCCGCGCTGTCGGCGGCCTCTTCCCAGCACAGCAAAAGCAGCAGCTCATCCTCCCACCTTCCTCTGACGGTTGGTTCATCCGAATTGTCACCACGGCGCACATCGGATGCAGAGCAGAGCTTTACATTCAACTCACACGCCGATGCGAAATCATCCGTCAGTTCCTCGGATGACTTGTCGCCTTCCTCTCCCTCCTCCCCGAATGTCAACGACCAGCGCATGAATCTGGTCCGGATGCATGATACTGCCCAGGACCAGCAATGCAGCCTCAGCAAAGCCATCATGGGCCTCGTGTGTGAAGCGTCCGAATCCGACATTGCCGACGATGACAGTGAAGAGCCTACGAGCCCGAACAGCGATTCAGCCTCGTCCAAGTCCAGAGGGAGTGTGTTTAGCGTCGTCAAGCAGCGGATATCGACGATTGGCCAGCGTCTGGGAGGAGGAAAAGCATCCAAGTCTACACGCTCCTTGGGCCCTCCTTCTTCCCCGCCATCCCGCAAGCTTTCTCTGGTTGAATCCAACGAAGTTGCTGCGACAAACCAGCAAACTGACTTTTCCTCCGAGCTCGGTGATGAAGAGAGTATTACCGAGCTTGAAGTCGACGATGCCGGCGAGCTGGTTGCTGTCCATGCCTCGTCCCCTCTGCTACTCTCCAAGAAAAACTTTAAGCAGTATCGGCACGACGGTCGTCTGACAGTGTCACAGCAGTTCTATGTATGTTGTGTCGAGAAGATTTGGGGGGAGGCTTGTTTGTGGTGTTTTTGTTCTCGTGTCGTTGTTTCGCTCACTTGTGTGTTTGTACGGCCAGATTGTCGAAGGAGGTGGCCGCGTGCTGGCTCGGCTGCGGATGCGATTTATTGCCACTTGTGCGCCAATCCCGCCTCTTTGCTCGTACTGCCGCAAGAGGTTTGCCAAGTTGCGGTCTTCGTCCAACGAGCAGGCGCGCCTCGCCCCGAAGCATCGGCAAACGGCCGACGTGCTATTTGTGCGTTCTGATCCCTGGAAGCAATCTCTCTTCTACAGCCTGATGAAGCGAGACGACGCGCAAGTCATCCCATATGTGAAATTGATCGAAATGCGTAAGAACAATTTTTTCCCAACGTTGTTGCCCTTTGTCGTTTGTCTGAGCAGTTTGCTCATGCTCTTTTTGCTCGTTCTTGTGACAGAGGAGCGCATGTTTGAGCACCCAAGCGCCCCTCGCGCCGTTGCTGCAACTCCCGACGACATCAATGAGGACTTTGATCCTGAAGAGCATCGCGACTTTCCTTCCGGGATGCCTGCACATCAGCGAGTCGGCAAGGTGAGGGATGCCATGATTATTTTCTTGTTGTGGTTGTGTCTTCGAGATGCAAAAGACACTGATGGTCGCAGCACAATGTGTTTTCTGTTGTTCTTTACTCTGCTCACTGTTTCCTGTCCACCCCCCCCCCCCCTCAAATAGTTTTTAAACTTTACCGACTTTGAAACTCAAGTTGCCAAAATGGTCAGTGTTGAGCAGGCAGACTCGACCAGTTTCTTGGAAGCACGAGACGGCGCAAAGCTCGCATACCTGCTTTTCAAAGCCTCGGCCGAACCGGTCGCAATTGTGCTGTTTATCGCGACATTTGGCTTTGGTAGTGCCTGGTGCTTGGATCTTGCCTCGCGACTTGCGAAAAACAATCCCTTCCACGTCATTGTGCAGTACGAGCGAGGCCATGGTCCAGCGTAAGTCGAGCTGCTGTTTTTCCCTGCATTTTTGCCTTGAAGTTCTTCCTTGCTGACTTGCCGTGCCACGATGGCAATTTCTCGCTCTTTAGTCTCGATCCGAGCGGAGATGCTCCGTCGAAAGAAGCGCTCTGGCGTGACATGCGCACCATGATCCGATACCTGCGGTGGAACTATCCTGCGCTTCCGCTTGTTGTCGGAGGTCACAGCAACGGGGCTGGCAAACTACTAAACTACAATTCGTGGAAGTCAAGCCTGCCTGCAGATGCCATCTTTCTGATCAGTCCATTCCTGCACGAGCTGATGCGCAGCCACAAGCGCAACATGACCAAGAAGGATCACTTCCAAAGAAAGCTAAACTCAATGTCGGGCGGTCGACTCGCCGGGCACTGGATTGCGCTCGATCTGACCAACCATGTCGCACGAAAGGAAATTGTCGGACTTTGCGTTCCGACGCTCATTTCTGTAAAACGTTCACTTGCAAGCTGTTTGGTTGGTCGAATGTTGTCGATTATGCTGAACTTTTTCACTGAATTTTTCAACGTGCGCAGGTGAATATGATGGCGGCAGTGCTGATCAAGGATGCCAAAGCGGCGTTTTCAGCCATCTCGGTTCCCTTTGCGCTGTGGGCGGGTTCCGAGGACGAGCTGTTTCCGTCGAAGGAGGTTCTTGCTGCTGCTGATTACTCTCCATCGCAGAGCAAGGTGAGTTTCTTTGCTGCGAGTCGGGGTGATTGTTCTTTTGGTTTGTGTGAATCTCAGTATTGCATTTACATGCAGGTTGCTGAGGAAATCGAGGGCGGTACGCACGTCGGAATCGTGAATATGATCGAGGACCATCTGGCACCGTGGATTAAGCGCATCATACCACCAATCAAGGCACGTCTGGACGCCGAGCTTGCCAGGCAGGCTGCCGTGCGTGCCGCTCGACGCGAGCGTGAAACTGCAGAGGCTCCTTCATCCTCGTCACCACCAGCATCGACCAGCCCGAGCTCTACGAAATTGGCAGAGGAGCGGTCTAGCACACCATCCATATCCGTTTCGGCAACTGTTGACGTTTAGCAACAGATTGTTGGAACAAAAACCAGACTAGGCTCAAAAATTCTCAGCAAAAACCGCTTTCGACCAGATTTTCCTCCCGGATACAGGCGGTGATTCAGAAAGCCAGCAAAGCGGAATAAGATACCGTCAAGCATGAATTGTAAATGCACGCGAGAGAGACACACACACACACACGATTATGCGCATTCGAGTTAAAAGCACAAATCCATTCGTTACTCTATCGGTTTTTGTTTGTTCTTTCCATCCAACTCTGAGATTGACTTTATTCATCAGATTTTATCAAGCTTTCTTCCTTTTGCATATGAAGCCCCCAAATTTGCATCGTATTGCTCGCTCAGTCTCAGAAATTTGTTTCCCGGCTTCTACGATCGCCGTTACGAGGGGTCCAACTCTTCCCACCACCCCAAATTCAAGCACATCCAACATTATCATCATTCGTGTAGCTCTATTCAGTGGCAATGTCCAGCCGTCGAAGCCGCTCGATGTTCAGCGACTTGCAGCGCCAGTCCGTGTCATTCACCAATCTGCCAACGACAACCACAGCTCGCTTCCGACCGCCGCCAAGACCGATGCTTGCTGCGCTTCTATTCGCTGTACTAGTATCTGTCATTGCTTGGCAGGCAAGCACCGCCGAGGCCGCGTCGTCGCCGTCTCGCCACGATTTGACCTTCCAGCGATACCAGGTTTGGCACCATCCCCCCCCCCCAAGCGATCATGCGTCATGATGGCGATAGTATTGAGTTGCAGTGAGGTGCACTGTCTGAGCTCACTCTTGGGCTGGGATGACAAACCGCGAACGAAATTTTCCGCTTGGTTGCTCAGATTTGTGTGAATTCAAGTTCGAGAGCTTGCTCAGACTACGAGGCCGTTTGTCTCAATTGCACATTTAACGAGTCGTGTTCATACGGACTGGCGACGACGGCGAACTGCTCTGTGCCTGAGACAATCCTTTGCGCTGTACGGGTAAACTTGTGCAGCGACGAGTCTGTTGGTGGTTGTCTCACCGTGCATGCCCCATACACATACGCAATCATAGGGTGACCGGATATTCTCGAGAAACCTCACTTGCCAGTACTGCTACCAGTCGCCCGAAGCTGACTACGCTTGCAGCGAAAACACGGACTGCGACGCGCAAATAGTCGATGCGACCTACGAAGCTGTCTGCACAATGATGGACGATGTACTGTGCATCGGTACGTTGCTCTTGTACTTCAAACTGGCGTGTCGCAGCATCTGGGGCATTGTTGTGGCCCGAACGTTTTGCTCATCCGGCCTTGTTGTTGTTGTGGGGCTTTTCTCTTGCTCCCCAGGCAATCGCCGCTTCAAAAAGAATGTACCATGCGAATGGACATCTGGCATACGATGGTCGACAGCGCTTTTGTTAAGGTCAGTGTTGTTTGCAGACCAGAAGGACGGGGTTGTTCGGTTTTGCTGCATGTCTTGCTCACATTGCTGTTTTTTTTTTTGCTCGACAACTCCAGCATCACCGTTGGTGGATTTGGCGGCGATCTCTTTTATCTCGGCTACACGGGCTGGGGTCTGTGCAAGCTGTTCACCTTTGGCGGATTGGGAGTCTGGACGATCGTGGATGTTATTTTGATAGCGACTGGCTATCTCGGCCCAGCCGACGGCTCGTTGTACTTGTAGTGCCGACTTGTCTTTTTGAGTCATCCAACTCAGCTCTTGTTAGTATCAACTTCTTTGTAATTCCGTAAAAAGTAAAATGAATTCAGCTTTTGCCTTCTTGTAGGAAATGTAAATGCACTCAGTCTACCTTTGTATTGTTTCGTTCTAATCGAGCCTTTGTTTCATACTCTTTTTCCTCACTAAAACTTCACCATGAGCGACAAGGAGCCACCAAAGCGGCCGCCAGTGACCTCGACGACGCTCTTCCGGGTGCTCAATCCAGAGCTCTTCCTGCGACCCAACAAATACGTGATGGCGTTCGGACTGGGTGCCCTGACGCTGAGCCTCGGCTTTGTCTGGTGGCAGTCGGAAGGACAGCTCGGGCCCAACTCGAGGTGCTGATTTTGCATTGGAAAAAATCTTGGCATCGATTGTTTGTAGAGTTGTATGATGAGTATTGGGTTTGGGAGGGTAGGGGGGGGGGATTGAATTTAGAGGGAACAATAGGATTGACATTGAATTTCCGCTTTGGCTGACATTTACTTCAATATGTGTTCAAACAGCGTTCAAGCTGGATATCCTCGCATTTCGGAATATCTGCCAGAAACTGCACCGAACGAAAAGAACAAGA